TTCACATGGACGTGTGGGGCCCAGCCCGCGTCCGTGGACAGGGTCACGAGCGTTACTTCCTGCTGGTGGTTGACGACTACTCGCGTTACACCACGGTCTTCCCCTTGCGCCGCAAGGGTGAGGTCACTGAGGTGTTGATCGCCTGGATCCGCGCAGCTCGTCTCCAGCTCAGAGAGAGTTTTGGCTCGGACTTTCCTGTTCTGCGCCTGCACTCCGACAGAGGCGGAGAGTTTTCCTCTGACCTTCTGCGAGCCTTCTGTCGCGCACGAGGCATCCGCCAGACTTTCACGCTTCCGGACTCTCCACAGCAAAATGGGATTGCTGAGCGCCGCATTGGCATGGTCATGGACGTCGCTCGTACGTCCATGGTCCATGCGGCTGCTCCCCATTTTCTGTGGCCGTTTGCGGTTCGGTACGCGGCGCATCAGATCAACCTTCAGCCCCGGGTCTCCTTGCCAGAGACCTCCCCTGCTTTGCTGTGGACGGGGAAGGTGGGCGATGCGTCTGCGTTCCGTGTCTGGGGATCTAGGGCGTTTGTCCGCGACTTGTCTGCGGACAAGCTGTCCCCTCGTGCTGTTCCCTGCGTCTTCCTTGGCTTCCCCCCTGACGCGCCAGGCTGGCAGTTCTACCACCCCACCTCGCGTCGTGTTCTGTCCTCCCAGGACGTCACGTTTGACGAGTCGGTTCCCTACTACCGTCTCTTCCCCTACCGCACTGCGTCCCTCCCCCCCCCGCCGCTCTTCCTTACGCCAGGTCCCCCTCCGGTAGACCCCCTCCCCCCTCAGGGTCCTGCCCCCTCAGGTGTGTCCCAGGTAGACGCAGTCGAGCCTGTCGAGGTAGCTGTTGACTCTGGTGCTGCTAGGGGTGCTGAGCCTGCGGGTGCGGGGTCTGGGGGTGCTGAGCCTGGAGGTGCTGAGTCTGGGGGTGCTGCGACTCGGGGTGCTGAGCCTGGGGGTACTTCGCCTGGGGGTGCTGAGCCTTGGGGTGCTGAGCCTGGGGGTACTTTGCCTGGGGGTGCTGAGCCTGGGGGTGCTGAGCCTGGGGGTGCTGCGTCTGGGGGTGCGGAGTTTGAGGGTACTGGGCCTGCTTGTGTGGCGCCTGGTGGTGCTGGGCCTGGCGGTTCTTCGGGTGCTTCGTCCCGACGGGAGCTACTCTCTCCACAGGAGCTGCGAGAGTGGTTTGCCCGGCGCTGGAGGCGTGCTGCTGGAGCTGGAGGTGCTGCGGGCACTGGAGGTTCTGCTGCTGCTGAGGGTGCCGCGGGTCCCGGAGGTGCTCGTACTGGGAGTACTGGAGCTGCTGGGCCTGCGGGTACTTCTCGTCCTGGAACTGGTGGTGCTGCGGGCGTCGGTGCTACTGGGGGTGCTGGTGCTGGTGGACCTGCTGTGTCTTCTGGTGGTCCGGCTGGAGCAAGAGCTCCTGGGGGTGTTGGCGCTGAGGGTGCTTCTGGTGCTGGTGCCTCTGAGGGTGCTGGAGTTGGCGCTGCTGGAGCTGGGGGTGCTACTGGAGCTGGTGCTGCAGTTGGGGGTGCTGGTGCTGTTCCTGCTGGTTCTGGGGGCGCTGCGCGGCCGCGGCCGTACTTCGTTCCGCTCCTTGAGCAGGTTCTTGGCCTTCCGCCCTCTGCTAGTCCGGCTCCTCCCTTAGAGTGTCCACCGCCTGTCCAGTCCGAGTCACAGTTACAGCCTACCTCACCTCTGCCTGCTCCTTCTCCCTACACTGGTCCTACTGGAGGTCTTGCTGAGCGTCGTGAGCCTGCGTCTCGCCCTGCGTCGCCTGTCCGTGCTGCTCGCACTAGTGGTCATAGTTCGCGTCAGCGTCCTCCCCCTGTCCCCGGCACGCACCGGATGTCTCTGCGTCCTTCCACAGCTCCACTGCGTGCCCCTTTGCCTTCTCCTCCTGAGTCCTCTCTTCCTGCTCTTGCTGACCCTGAGTCAGACTCCCTTCGTGCTGCCAGTCCTACTGTCACGCGTCTCCTTGCTACTGTAGTCACTGACCCTTCCTTTGATTCCACTGCTGCGTCTGCCCTAGTTGCTGAGCTTGTCGACTTCGCTGCTCGCTGTCGCCTAGACTACGCTGCTAGTCTTGTCGCCGAGTCTGAGTCTGTCTGTCCTCCGTCCGTCGGGGGTGAGTGTGCTCTTGGCACGGACGTCCTTGAGGACAGGCAGGAGGAGTTCCAGTGTCTTGCGGCTGCTTCACCCCATCTCGTGTCCATGTTACTTGCCCCTGAGGGAGACCCGGATGCACCAGACATCCCGACTCCGCGCTCTTACGCGGAGGCGATAGAGGGTCCCTACTCCTCTCAGTGGCAGGCAGCCATGGACGCAGAGATGGCTTCCTGGAAGTCCACAGGCACCTACGTTGACGAGGTTCCCCCGCCTGGGGCGAACATCGTCAGTGGCATGTGGATTTTCAGGGTGAAGCGGCCGCCGGGTTCTCCGCCTGTCTTCAAGGCGCGTTACGTGGCTCGTGGCTTCAGTCAGCGGCAGGGAGTTGACTACTTTCAGACCTTCTCTCCCACCCCGAAGATGACCACTCTTCGGGTACTGCTGCACTTAGCCGCTCACCGTGACTACGAGCTTCACTCTCTTGACTTCAGCACTGCTTTCTTGCAGGGCAGCCTGCACGAGGAGATCTGGCTGCGCCGCCCACCTGGCTTCACTGGGACTTTTCCTCCTGGCACCCAGTGGAGCCTCCAGCGGCCAGTCTACGGTCTCCGCCAGGCACCTCGTGAGTGGCACGACACACTGAGGACTACACTTGCAGCTCTTGGGTTTGCTCCTTCTACTGCCGACCCGTCGCTGTTTCTGCGCACCGACACTTCTTTGCCGCCGTTCTACATCCTCGTGTACGTCGACGACTTGGTCTTTGCCACAGCTGACACTGCCGGACTCGCCTACGTGAATTCCGAGCTGCAGAAGAGACACACGTGCACAGACCTAGGTGAACTGCGCAGCTACCTTGGCTTGCACATCACCCGGGACAGAGCACAGCGCACCATTACCCTGACTCAGTCACACATGGTGCAGCAGGTCCTTCAGCGCTTCGGCTTCACGTACTCCTCGCCTCAGGCCACTCCTCTGTCCACTCGCCACTCGCTCTCAGCTCTGCCTTCGGATGAGTCCGTAGAGTCGAGTGGCCCGTACCCAGAGCTTGTTGGCTGCCTCATGTACCTGATGACCTGCACTCGACCTGACCTTGCATACCCTCTTAGCATTCTGGCACGCTATGTTGCTCCTGGGAGACACAGACCAGAGCACATGGCTGCAGCGAAGAGGGTGTTGCGCTACTTGTGCAGTACGTCGGGCATGGGGCTTGTGCTTGGAGGGCGGAGTCCAGTGGTCCTCACTGGTCACGCAGACGCTTCTTGGGCTGACGACCAGGCTACGCAGCGGTCGTCACAGGGTTACACCTTCAGCCTTGGTTCCGGCTCTGTTTCGTGGCGGTCTACCCGCTCGTCTTCTGCTCTCGGCTCCAGCTGTGAGGCTGAGATCTACGCAGGGGCCATGGCTGCACAGGAGCTTCGCTGGCTCACCTACCTGCTGACTGACCTAGGAGAGCCGCCTCGTTCTCCTCCAGTTCTGTACGTAGACAACAAGGCCATGCTGGCCTTGTGTCGGGAGCACAGACTGGAGCACAGAACGAAGCACATCGCTCTTCGCTACTTCCTTGCTCGTGAGCTGCAGCAGCGCGGTCAGCTGCACCTTGCTTACGTGGCCTCTGAGGCCAACACTGCTGATATCTTCACCAAGGCACTCGCGCCTTGTGACCATCAGCGCTTCTGTACTTTGTTAGGTCTTGTGCCTACCTTGCCTCACTTGCTCACTTCTTGACCTTGCTTGTACCTTGACCTTTATATACTTGCACTTGCATGTTTAGCTTCATATATATATACCTGCATGTGGACTGGCCTTGTGGCCTTGAACTTGTGCTCAGAATGTGTGGTGACGTTGTGATCCACCCTGAGCTTGCTGTGCTTTGCTTGACTGGTCTTGTGACCCCTTGTTCTCCCCCACTTTGCCTATGGGGGTGTGTCAAACTCATATGCTATAGTCTGTGTAGGCTGTAGTGGGGTAGCTTATATGGGGTACAACACTTTAGGGTTTGGTACTTGTACTCCTCATGCTGCTCAATGCAATCATTCTCGTTCCAATTTCCACAAACGTTGCACTAAGGGTGCCAACGATGCATCTGCAGGTGAACCCCTCGCACATGTGCGTCACCTACAAAAGTAGGTGCAAGTCTGCTCAACACACGGTTACGAGCACGTCGTCCACGGGATCCAAATTGTGCAGGTGCCAGTTTCTAGAGCACGTGATGCCGATTCCGCAGGTTCACTTTCGCCAAAACCTCTTGGGGCAAAATTCGCGCACATGCATAATTTCGCCAAAAGAAGAGCTTACTGTCGGCTGCGGGATTGATATCGACTTCTGTTGAACACTCGAACACCACATGAGGTGTTCGACTCAACATGGACGACCCAAACGTGTTCGTGTTTGGGTTTTGCTCATGTGTACCCCACAAAACCACCCTTGATAGTGTTCATTGCCTTCCCCCCCCCCTCCACCTCCCCCCGCCTTGTTGTGCCCTCCGCGTGTGTGCAGCTTCGGGGTGCTCATGCTTGTGGTGCTCACCGGTCGCACTCCCCATGCGTGGTTCTCCTCCTCACCCTTCCCTCCTCACCCTTCCCCCCTCTCCCTTTCCCCCTCCCCCTTTCTTCCGTTTCCCTTAGGGCGGGTCCAGCGCGTACATTTACAGGTACTATTCAGTACATTTGTCGTGGTTTGAAAAGATATCAGGCGGTGCACAGCGGTTTTAAAATTGCACCGTTTTGAACCGTGATGCCATACAGATTACCGCACTGGATGAACTGTAATGTACGGAAAACGTACGCGCTGGACCCGCCCTTACTGTCGGTGCAGCTTCGGTGTGCTCATGCTTGTGGTGCTCACCGGTCGCAGCCACCCCCTATACAGACACTGAACAGTGCACCAACACCACCCCTGATGCTCTCGATCCCCCCAACCCCTCCCCACTCCCCTTTCTGCCGGTGCAGCTTCGGGGTGCTCATGCTTGTGGTGCTCACCGGTCGCAGCCCCCACACGTCCGATGGTGAAAAGAACGGCCACATTCTGCAGTGGGTAGGTATCTGCTGCTGTTCTGCTACTTTGTGACAAGTCGCTGTGAAACATGGGATTGATTCAACCAGCCTTTTTTTGGTGATGGAAAGAACGTCCACATTCTGCGATGGGTAGGTGTCTGCTGCTGTGCTGCTTCTTTGTGACAAGTCGCTGTGAAACATGGGAAAGCAGCCTTTTTTTGGAGATGGGAAGAACGGATGCATTCTGCAATGGGTAGTTGCTGCAGCTTTTTTGCTGCTTCTTTGTGAATAAGTAACTGCCCGCATCTTGCGTGTTCAGTACTCCGCCACATTTTCCTGTGAATAATCGCCGCTTTTGCGCTGCTTTTGTGCTGCTTTTGTGCTGCTTTTGTGCTGCTTTTGCACTGCTTTTGTGCTGCTTCTATGTGAGTGAGTAAGAGCCCGCATCCTGCGTGCTCAGTACTTCCTCAACACGCTGCAGCTCTCCTCCACTTCACCTTCTCCACCTGCGAGCGACTTTTGAGGCGTCTAAAGAATGTTGGGTACTTACGCAACACGCTGCTGCTCCCCTCCGCCATCTCCACCTGCAACTTTTGAGGCGTGTGTGCTGCCTTGTTTATCATTTTCCAGGCGGCGCGGTGCATTGCTGCTGACAACAACCCTGCCGGCCTGAGCATGGACGCTCCGGACCATGCTGTGCTGCGCCCGGCCCAGTTCCCAACCCCACCCACCTGCCCCTGTTCCCAACCCCACCCACCTGCCCCTGTTCCCAACCCCACCCACCTGTCTCTGTTCCCAACCCCATCCATCTTGTTCCATTCCATCCTGAGGCGCAGCAGTGCTTCTGCTCTAACACTCTCAAGGATCTGAGCATGGACGCCCCAGATGATGCTGTGCTGCGTCTTCCCCGTCCCCGTCCCCATCCCCACTCACCTCCATTCCCGTCAGGTGGATGAGTGCATTTTCTCTGAGAACCAGGCCGTCCTCAAGGCCGAGAGCATGGACGCCCCAGATGATGCTTTGCTACGCCTGGTGGGCCCTGTTGCTGTTCAACGCCACCCCTTGTTGCCAACTATGTGTGTGTCAGGTGGAACACTGCACTTCCTTCAACTACCCGACCACCCTCAAGGACCCGAGCATGGACGCCCCGGATGATGCTGTGCTGCGCCTTCCCCTGACCCTGTCCCATCTCCACTCACACTTTTCCATCAATTCAATCCGTCAGGTAGAGGACTGCATCTCCGCCAACAACCCGGCCTCCCCTCAAGGACCCGAGCATGGACGCCCCAGATGATGCTGTGCTGCGCCTGGTGGGCCCTCTTGTTGTTCAACGCCACCCCTTGCTGCCAACTATGTGTGTGTCAGGTGGAGGAGTGCATCTCTGCCAACAACTCTGGTGGCCTCAAGGAAATGGACATGGACGCCCCGGATGATGCTGTGCTGCGCCTGGCCCATCTGGCCCTCTCCTGCACCGCCGAGCGCACTGCCAGCCGGCCCAACATGTCATACGTTGCCAGCGAGCTGCAGGCACGAGGTGGTGGGGAAGGAGGAGCTGAGTGCAGCGGTCAAGGTGGATGAGCTGGCAAAGGAGAGGCGGATTGGGATGTCGTTAAGGAAAAGCTTGGGTGCAGAGCTGGAAGCCATTGTGAGCATGGATGAGGAGGAATCTAATGAAGAGCAAGCAGGCAGGCAAGTCTAATCATTGAAGCCTGGATTTGGCGCTGCAGCTGGGAGCTATTGGGAGCATGGGTGAAGAGGAGGCAAACGGGGAGCACTAGGGTTGATGAACACTGATCTAGCAATGGGGAGCAATGGGAAGCAGTGGGGAGGAGCAATGGGAAGCAGTGGGGAGGAGCAATGGGGAGGAGCAATCAGGTAACTGAGTACTGACCTTGACTCAACCAGGTCTCATTTGGCTGCTATTAGGAGCATGGAGGAAGAGGATTCTAACGAGAAACTAGGTTGTTGCATACTGATCCAGCATTGGGGGGCAGTGGGGAGCAGTGGGGAGGAGCAATCAGGTTTACTTAACCAGCCAGGTTTACATTTGGCAGCAGAGTCGGAAGCTATTAGGAGTCTGTTTTTGAGCCGACTCAAAAGCAGTGTTGGAATCTACTAGGAGCATGGAGGAAGAGGAGTCTAACGAGGAGCAATCAGGTTGTTGCATTGCATACTGATCCAGCAATGGGGAGCAGTGGGGAACAATGGGGGGGGTCAATCAGGTAACTGAGTACTGATGGATGTTGGCTCAGCCAAGTCTAGACATGGCTGCAGTGGTGGGCCGTGGAAGCTATTAAGAGCATGGAGGAAGAGGAGTCTTACGGAAAGCAATTGGGTTGATGAAAACTAATCTCTAGCAACGGGGGGCAGTGGGGAGGAGCAATCGGGTAACTGAACTGAGTACCGGTCTTGACTCAGCCGAGTTTAGACTTGTGGGAAAAGTCAAACAGGGAGCGATCAGGTTGAAGAATACTGATCCAGCACTGGTGAGCAGTTGGGAGGAGCTATCAGCAAACTGATTACTGATGTTGACTCAGCCTGCCACGTCCATCAACCACCACCGTGCCTAAGCAAACCTTATTTTAGTGTTGTGCGTAGGTTCTCTCTAATCTACCAATCTCATGTACTTTCATTTGGCGTGAATGAGCATGGATTGCTTTGACTCACAAGTGAAGAGATACTAATGACAGTTGCATTTCATCAAGGTTACTGTAGTCTGGGTATTTGTCAACAATCTCAGAATGGACTGCTTGTCACTTGTACGGTATTATTCGGTCATGTGAACTCGGACACGGCCAATGTCACTTATGATATCATACCATCTGGTTGCTGTGCAGGACTCAGCATTGCAAATGATACGTCCTGTTGTTTGTGAATACGAAAGCGCAAACCTACATTTCTTTTACATGCTTGTACTACAGAATGATCAGTGTCGTGCCGAGATCGGCAACGCGCGTCACGCATACGCCACACACAGAGGTAATCTCCTTTGTCACTAATAAGTTCCCTCCCCTTTTCTCTCCGCCATCTTTAGCAATCCAGACATTGGGGAAAAACCCTCCATCCTTTCCTGACTCCCTCCCTCTTCATGCCTTCGACAGTGCCACCGGCCCACCGGTCCACATGGATATTCCAGATTTACTCCTCCTAGGGGGGTATGAAGGGACACACACACCTCACTACAAGCATGCAAGCAACCCCCTCGCACACACACACACACACACACACACACACACACACACACTGGCACACTCACTCACATATGTACACACATACGCACAACACCCACTCAGACACACGCAGATTTGCGCAAGCCCACCCCACCCACAAACAAAACGGGCACACTCTCACAAACAAATGTAAACTGGCCCGGCACTTTGTGGCGCAGTTGTTCAATGGCCTTGTTTAGTGCGGTTGAATGCGGCGCAAGCGACTGAGAAAGGGGGTGAGAGCACTCGCAAAGGTACAGGGACCGATTGTGACAGTGGAGAGAGTGATTGAACTGAAGGACTGCTATTGAGGCGCACCAAACCCCAGAGAAACGGGCTGGGAACACTTACAGAGGAACAAGGGCTGCTTGTAAGAGTAGGGAGAGTGAGTCAAGTGAAGCGATCATTTAGCTGCATCAGACTGATTGGGGAGAGAGTGAGAGTGGCAGAGAGTGAAAGTGAGGGAGGTAGAGAGAGAAAAGGTGAAGCAGAAGTTGTTTGTGAGAGCATGAATGCATGCATGACGGTGGCAGGGCATGGTGCCATGGTAGCATGCCATGACGGCATGACATGACAGAATGATGGCATGATGGCATGATAAAAAGATGGCATGGCATGATGGCATAAAAAGATGGCATGGCATGATGGCATGACATGGTTAAGAGAAATGCCTCCAGACAAACAAGCAGGACCCACCTCTTCTCTCGTTGAAGCAGCGCCACCGCTAGCACCAGCACCAGCAGCGCCAGCAGCACCAGCAGCACCACTAGCATCAGCCATGACCTTTTGCTCTGCCGCACAAACAGCAGCGTGTGTTGATGCGGATGTGACATAGTATGCCGACATGCAGAGCTGGATCAGTGCAGGGAGGGTGCCGGCTGGTGGGGAGGGAGAGGGAGGATGGGCAGGCAGAGGGAAAGAGGGTGAGACGTTTCCCTCGACTGCACCGACAGCACCAACAGCACCAGAAGAAGCTGCACTTGGCAGCAGCATGTTCTGAGGCGGATGTTACAGAGTATGCCGACATGCACAGCTGGATGAGTGCAGGGAGGGTGCCGGCCGGTGGGGCGGGAGAGGGAGGAAGGGGGGATGGGAGGAAGGCAGAAGGAAGATTTGAGAGGCCTCTTCTTGGCTGGCCCACCAGCACCATAAGCACAAGCTGCACCATCACCAGCAGAACCCGCAGCAGCAGCAGTGGCAGCAGCAGCATGTCTTGGCTTGACATAGTATGAGTGCAGGGAGGGTGCCGGCTACGGATTTTTCGAATCGGTCCACTACAGAAAACCTACAGTAAATACGAGCCAGTACGCATACATGGTAGTCGATTTTTTTGTCAACAAAAAGAACACACACGCACGCAAAAACCAAGCGACAATCGCTCTCCTCCCACACACATACTTGTGGGAGGAGAGTGATTCACACACAGAAACCAACGAGTTTACTCGAACTTAGACATGAGGGGTTGAGTGAGTGATTAACTAATAAGCAAGAAAACTCACAACGTTACACACCAGCACTGCAGGTATTGTCATACGGAGAGGGAGAGTGACGCGAAGCAGAAATAAGGGAGAAGGAGCGTGAAGCAAAGCAGTCACTCACCTCCCACCCCTCCAACTGCTGCAGCAGCCACTGCAACTGGCAACCCTTCATGCGCCTCGTTTTATGCCTAAAAAAAATAGTCGGCAGCTCACAAAAGGAAGGGGAAAGAAGTCACTCACCTCCCACTCCTCCGCCTGCTGCGGCAGCCACTGCCACTGGCGGGATCTGAGGGGGTTGGGAAAGGAAAAACGAACAGAAGAGGGGGGTAATGAGGGAATGAGGAGCGAGAAGGGAGGAGAGAGAAGAGAGGAGGAAGATGGGATGAGAGAGAATAGAACAGAGGAGAGATAAGGGATGAGACAGAAGGGGGTACAGAGCAGGGAGGAGAGGGTAGTCACAAGAGAGAAAGGAACGGAGAGATGGGTGGGGGAGAGCAGAGAGGAAAAAGAAGGGATGGGGAAGCGAAGAGGAGGGGGTAAAAATAGAAATAACTGAGGAAAACTGCAGCCTTAGCATCAGAACTACACTCTCGCTCGCTCACCCCCTTCCCTCTCAGCCCATCCATCCCACCCCCTCCCTTTCACCCCTTCCCTCTCACCCCTTCCTCCTCACACCCACTAGGTAATCCAGTCCCCTGGACTGGATCCTGAATGCGCTTGCCCAGCCAATGCACCACAAACCCCCTCAGGACAGCTGCAGCATGTACACTCTCGTTCTCGGCATGCTAACTCTCACCCCTTCAATCACTCGCCCTCCACTCTCACCCCTTCAATCACTCGCATGCCTCCACTCTCACCCCTTCAATCACTCGCATGCCTCCACTCTCACCCCTTCAATCACCCGCATGCCTCCACTCTCACCCCCACTGGATATTGCGGTCCCCTGGACACTGGGATGCGCTTGCTCAGCCGAGGCACCGGAAACCCCTCTCAGAAGAGGTGCAGCACGTACACTCTCAACACTTGCCTCTCAGAAGAGCTGCAGCACGTACACTCTCAACACTTCCCTCTCAGAAGAGCTGCAGCACGTACACTCTCAACACTTCCCTCTCAGAAGAGCTGCAGCACGTACACTCTCAACACTTCCCTCTCAGAAGAGCTGCAGCACGTACACTCTCAACACTTACCTCTCAGAAGAGCTGCAGCACGTACACTCTCAACACTGCCCTCTCAGAAGAGCTGCAGCACGTACACTCTCAACACTGCCCTCTCAGAAGAGCTGCAGCACGTACACTCTCAACACTGCCCTCTCAGAAGAGCTGCAGCACGTACACTCTCAACACTTCCCTCTCAGAAGAGCTGCAGCACGTACACTCTCAACACTTACCTCTCAGAAGAGCTGCAGCACGTACACTCTCAACACTTCCCTCTCAGAAGAGCTGCAGCACGTACACTCTCAACACTGCCCTCTCAGAAGAGCTGCAGCACGACCACTCTCAACACTGCCCTCTCAGAAGAGCTGCAGCACGTACACTCTCAACACTGCCCTCTCAGAAGAGCTGCAGCACGTACACTCTCAACACTGCCCTCTCAGAAGAGCTGCAGCACGTACACTCTCAACACTTCCCTCTCAGAAGAGCTGCAGCACGTACACTCTCAACACTGCCCTCTCAGAAGAGCTGCAGCACGTACACTCTCAACACTGCCCTCTCAGAAGAGCTGCAGCACGTACACTCTCAACACTGCCCTCTCAGAAGAGCTGCAGCACGTACACTCTCAACACTTCCCTCTCAGAAGAGCTGCAGCACGTACACTCTCAACACTTCCCTCTCAGAAGAGCTGCAGCACGTACACTCTCAACACTGCCCTCTCAGAAGAGCTGCAGCACGTA